GTTTTATGACTTTTCTCTAAAAATTACCAAAAAAGGAAATTTTGAAAAAAAAGATGGATCTACGGGAAAGAGTGATCCTACAGTGTATTCATTAAGTATAACTATTAAAAAATATTATACTAAAATAATATAGTTTTGTTTCTACTAAATTCTATAAATTATTTATTTATTGCAAATGAATATAAATTATTGTTCAAAAAAAGTTGAAAATAGATATATTTTTAAAAATAAAAATTTTTAATATATAATAAGTTTTCTTAAATAATATATTAGAAAAAAATTAAGATAAAAATAAATAGGTTTTTTAAACTATCAAAACAAAAAAATATTTCAATAAAATATTTTTTATTAAAAAGAAATCTTAAAAAATCAATTTTTAAAAAAATCCAAAGAATTTTATTTTATTTTATTTTATTTTATTTTCTTATAGTATATTTATATATTTTTTTATATTTTTTTCTTTTTTCTAATCAATTTTATTTATAGTTTTTTATATTTCATTTGCTTTTTTATTGCACTATAACAGTATATAGAATATTGGGAGATTTTATTTATACAAAGTTTATTAAATATATACTGTATATTTTAAAAAAAGTTTAATATGAGATACATTTTTCATTATTTTTTTATAATTAACTCATAATTTTTTCTTATCAATTGAATCAATTTTATTAGAATAAATTTTAATGTTTTTTTTACTATTTCTTACCTATATATCATTTAAACATTATAATTTTTTAATATATATATATTTCTTCATATTATTCTTGATAATATTTTATAGATTTTTTATAAGATTCTAATTGTAACTATTCAATGATCAGTCAATAATATCTAATATATTTTTTTTGATAAAAACTTTTGTCAAGTCATTTATATGCTTCAGATCATTATTTTGTTAAAACATTACTTATTACAAATATTCTTCTAATTTTTGAAACATATTTCCAAAGAATTTTTATGTAAAAACTTATATTTCTGATTTGTTAAAAAAAAAAATAAAGTTAATTTTTCTAATATAAAATTTTCTTCAAGTAAAAGTTTTATCCAATTTTTTGACATACAAAAAATTGATCATATGTCCTTATGCTAATATCTAATAATATTTCTATAAAATTTAAATGTATTGTGAAAAGAAATATTTAAATAAAGTTTTTTTTATTAAAAAATAATTTTAAAAAATGGATTTTTAAAAGAAATCAAATAAATTTTTATTTTTATTACTTTTTTTTTTTTTATAATTGTATATTTTTAGATATTTTCTCTTTTTTTTTTCAATCCATCTCTTTTTATATTTCAATAACTTGTTAAAACATAAAAAGACAACTTGTTAATTATAATATATGATTTAGAAGAATTTTAACTCAAATTTTATTACAGAGTAAAAATATTATCTTTAAGATTAAACTTAAAGATTTTTAATACTTAATACTTACAATGAATTTGTTAGACTTGAATGAATAGTTTAGCTGTATGTAATATATATCATACTGTTCAAATAAATTATATTTATATATTCAATTGATTAAAAAAAAATTATAAAATCAATCTAATGGAGCGAAAAATCACTTCCAAAGTTGCACTTAGAGTAATTACTGAGACGAGTGAGCTAGTTAAAGTTTTAGCTTTAGCGATTCATACTATATGTACAGCTTACAATTGTTTAATAAAGCACACATAACTAGCCTGACAGAAGGTTTTAAAAAAAAAAAAAAATTATAAAATCAATCTTTATTAATTTATTTGTATATTACTGTGGCAACACCAATTAAAAAAAAAAATCATTTATTTATTATAAAATTATATTTATATTCTCTATTCGAAAAATTTTTTAAAAAACAAATTATTGATCGATATAATTTTTTTATTAAACTATATTTCAATAATAATTTTATTTGAGCCAACAATTATAAAACTTCATTTGAATATAACTTAAATCAAACCATTAAATATGCGGGATTTAAACACCGTAATGTAGATCTTTATGAAATAGGTATGATTTAGGACCTTTAGACGCTTCGTTGTTCCATGATGGTGCCTGAGCGCGATGATAACGAGCATTATTAGTTTCTTCATGTGATGGTGGCGTTAGTTGTTGTGGTTGAGCAGTATCAGGTTGTTGCTGCATAGGAGACGGCTGCTGTAAACCCCGTATCAATGAAATTGATTTATCAACACTAAGTTGAGTATATCTGTCTTCATATTCGGCTTCAAGTAATGGATCGTAATCCATGATGGGATCTGGGGGAAGCTTGAGTTCAACCTCTGCTTGATATATCAACGCTTCATATTTGGTAAAAGGTGCATTTGCAACTTTTGCGTATCCATTAGATCTTTCTCCGAGTAATTCTTTGCGAGTAGGTGAATCCAATGCTGTAGTCTTGATCGATTTTCTCGGAACAATTTCAGCTATGAGAGATAATGGTTTGGTTTAATTAATAATGTGATTAAAATAATCATATAATATCATGCCATAATACCTTTCTTCTTTTGTCTAGCTAGTTCTTCCGCCAGTCGAGAATCTTCTAGATCCTTTAGCCGATTTCTTTCATTAACACGGGCCCATGTATCCTGTTTTGTGTCACGTGACGTTCCAGCAATTATCCTATCTATCTCAGTAAGTCTCATAGCACAGTCTTGTGCCTCCTTAAAATTTCCTTGCGCTTCGGCTAGATTTTTTTGCGTAATCAATGTGGTCTTTTGAGTTAACAAATCAATAGGTTCGCCACCGCGCAGTGCCTGTTTGTTTCTAACCATTGCCTCCACGTCTTGCTAATAATTTACAATTAATGATGTGACTTGTTAAATAATAGTTAAAATGCTTAATCGTAATGTAAAATTATTAATATAAATATGTTACCTCGGAAAGAACATAACTCGTGGCGAATTTTATATCATCTCTCTTTCGTTCAATCGTTTCCTTTGTCGGTAAATCGAGATTCTGAGTTTTCATAGTCTTTATCCAACGCTCGAATTCAGACTAAAGCATAGATTTATTAAAACAGTCGTAAAATTAAGAAGATTTTGTTCAAATAAGATGTGGATATAGTATATACCGCGTCAAATTCGCTATTGGATATAACATGCATATGCCAAACTTTTATCGCGTCACCATGTCTAAGACGTAGCACTTGATTAGTTATTGCTTTATCCACATAATATGTTGAATTAATTTCTTCAACAGCTGCAAAAAAAAAAAAAAAAATAGCCATAAGCACATTATATTGATTAATTTCATTCTAAATTCAAATAAATAAAACTAACCTTCAATTTCACACATTCGATATATTTGTTTTCCCTCGATGACTCCAATATGTAAACGAACAAAACAGCCAACTACAGTCTTTTCAAAATGAGGTGCAAACATCCAATCGCTAAGTTGACGACGAGTCAACTGTATGCTTTTAATATCCTCAAGCCTGATTTCCTATTAATCCAAATTTGGTGATTAAATTGACTAAACTTAAAAAATATTCCATTAAAATATTACATACATCAGGATCTTGCTTGTTCTTTTCTCCATTGCTATTGTAGGTTTCATCTTCTTCACCAGACGAGATATGTTCACCAGGCTCTGGACTCTGTGAATCCTGTAATTTAAAGTTAGCTAAAACAAATTATATTTCAAAATACAAATATTATCAATCAGAAAACATACTGTTTGCGTTCGCTGACCCTTTTGCGCTCGTCTACGCTTAAGTTCTTCAAGATCTTTTCCCTTCTTTTTGGTTCCCTTAGTTCTTGTAGACCCTTCGTAAAAGAATGAAGATTATTATCAAATAAATATATTAAAATTTTAAAAGCCAATTAACTTACTTCTAGTCGAACCGGCGTCATCTGGATTAAATAGAAGATGAACAGCTTCCAAATCCTTATTATGTTGTCTCTAGAAATATATTTATCACATTTTAAAATTAATAACTCTCCGGATATGTAATATTTCACATAACTTTCTATCTAATAAAATGTTTATGGTACTTTTTCAGCTCTTTCCGATAAGATCTTCTCACGCTCCAACTCGTTCAAGTTTTCTAGCCTATTTGATTAAGAAATAAATGATTTTAATATTAACAGATAAAGCGTGTTATGACAAAAATCTATATTACAATATTGTAAAGAATATAAACCTGTCCCTATCATCCTCATCACGATACATATCAGGTCCATACTCGTCAGTTCCGTCCTGTATCTCGTCATTTACTTCCCCATCTGAATAACCTCCGCGACGTTTTGGCGACTGCGACCTTCTATTGATAAAATATTTGAATACAAAAAGGAAGGTGCAAAAGAAAGTCCACGTTAAGCGTCAGTTGCCAAGTTCTAAAACGGCATATAATGGAGTTTAACTTCGCCCAATCTCACCCAAATTTAAGTCCGTGAGGCATTTTAACAGGCGTTTTTTATTTATACAAGAAAGAGTAGTGAAAGTTATATACCCAAATTATTTTGGACGTGTATTTATATTTCTTAGCAAATATATAAATATCGGTATACTTGATGACTCATATACCATAGGTCTACTTTATATGCTTCAAATATGTGTATATATTTATATATATACTATACATACTGGTTGACCTAAAAAATGAGACGCAGATTTATATTTAGATACTTGCTTTCTTTTTTGACCACTTCTAGCTGACCTTTTCTCTTCGTGAGCAACCGAAGAAGCACTATTACTCGTATTTTCGAGTGTAGTGGCTAGTTGAAACTTTTCTTCCTCACCATCCCCCGCAAGCTCGAGAATTTCGTCCTCAAGGTCACTCATTTGTATTGATAATTAAATACTATAGAGAAAAAAATATTATTAATGATATGAATACGTAATTTGAATGTAATTTACGAAAAGTTTTTCAAATGAGTGTGTTTGAAATTTCGGAGTTTTAATTAATTTTTTTATGGAGCAATATAATTGGTTATTCCACGATATATCAATAATATTAACAATCAAACAATCAAAGTATTGTTTTTAAATTTTTATACTAATCATATATATTTTATTTACACATCAAAATTTTATAAAAAAAAAATATTTTTGTGTTACTATTCTTGAAATAATTTTTTTAAAAAAATCTAGTAATATTTTATAACAGTAAAAAAATTTTTTTTTTAAAAAAATTAAATATAAAGTATTTTATTTTTAAAATTAATATTTATAAAGATTTTTTATATCAGAAAAAAAAAATTTTTTTTTTATTAATTATTTTTTTTAATTATAATTAATATTAAATATGAGTTTTATTGAATATTAAATTCAAGTATTATATTAATCTTCTTTTACAAACCATTATATATATTTCTATATATGGTTACTTCCAAAAGTTTGAGTTCACTTACTATGTTTTTATTATAAATTTCAACTTTGATAATTTTTAAATCATTAACTATACAGTCAAAAATTATAAAA